AAAATAGAAATAACATATATACATAGTTATATGAGAGAGAGAGAGAGAGAGAGAGAAAATAAAATGCAGAAAATGTAAATGAACGCAGAGAAATTGAAAGGAAATTTATTTCAAAAATAATATATGTAAAATTATCGGCTTAAAAAATAAATTTATCTTATAATTTGTTTTCAAATTTGTTTTATTTTTAAAATTCACTGGCATTCATATAATTATTGAATAATTGTAATTATTTCATCTTTGAAGTATTATAAAATTTGTAAATTTATGTTGTCTTTGATAGGAAATCAAAGTACAAATTGACATACAACATGGAGCCAATGTCACAAGATAAAAAAGAGGAAGCGAAAGCTAATGTACACGTTATGGTTGATAAAAATAAAACGACAAAGGAGACAGAGCTGACAGAGAAGAAGGTAAAATTTTAAATTATTATAATTATTTTTATAACAATTTCTTTTAAAAAAACTTATATAAAATTTATTTTTATTTGCTGGTATTTTAATATGTATCTTGCCTAATTTAGATATAATCAATCAAATAGTTATTTAGTTAATTATTTTCTCTCTATTTTAGAATTGTTCCTCATATCAGGATCACAAGGATATTTCTAATGACAAACCAAAGAAGACAGTCACGAAAATCAAGACGAAGAAAACTCGTAACGTAGGTCAGACAAGTTATGATCCTACAAAGTTAGAGGACAGTCCAACCCAGGTACTGGAACGTTTCAAAAGAGGCTGCGAGTGCATCGACGATCAGTGCTTTAAGGATTTAAATCCCGAGGTGGTTTATCGGCACAGATTGAACATTGCGGAACTAACTAAGGCTGAGCACGACATGTATTTAATGGGCGTGACGATGGCCTGCCTTACGGATCCCTATCAAACCGCTCGGCATACGGAGCGACGTAGATTACGCGCGCAGTATGTTTATCAGGGTCGACGAGTATGCTTGGATGCTTTTTTGTATCTAGAAAACTGCACGCATTATCAGATCAAGCGGATCCGAAAGCATCTGATGACGCATGGCGTGACACCGCGCGTGCATGGCAATCACGGCAAGGTGCCACACAACACGTTCTCGCTGGACATATATAAGATCGCGACAGAATTCCTGAAAAATTTCATAGAACTGCAGGAGACAAAGCAGAAGACCAAACTCACCAAGAACGCGCCGTTGCATCTACCGTCAGACGTTACGCGAAAGACCGTGCATGATCTGTACACGCAATATTGCAAAAAGATATCGCCTAATGTTAAAAGTATGGGCTACTCGACGTTCCGGCGTTTCATGAAGGTGCAGTTTCCACAGGTAAAGTTTGCCAAACTTGAGTTTATTATGAGAAACCAGACCACGCAAAATCAATGCCAGACCGAGACCGATGCGAGAGACGATACAGGTCAACTTGGAAAATCACCTAAGTCAGAGTTAGAGGCGAAAGGCACAATATTACCGTTGATGATAACCAGCGATCTAGGACAGAACGAGACCTACGTGTTGACGCCTATCAGAAAATTGCAGAACGGCGTGAGTTATCAGGTCACTACACGTGGTCTGATAGTTAAAAGTCCTACTATCACGCTGTCAAAAACAATATAAACAATATAACATGGAAGACTGTAAAAGCGAATGGTGTAAAAATTTTATACGAATAATACATTTATGCATGTATGTACAATACAAACGTGATTATATGCCTATCTTGCAAGGCTCTAATTTTTTGATAATTGCTTGCCTTTCCAGATTTAAATCGAAAATTTAATAATATAAATGTTTTATGTTAAGTATTTAAACGTGTTGCAGTGAGAATACTTTATAAATATGTGTAGAGAAATATGCACGTTAATTCTTTAATATATGTATATGAACGATGTACAAAATTATTATGTATATACGTATAAAAACATAATTTACTCTGTATTAAGTGCAGTTAAAGTTTATTTTTGGTGTATTATTTAATATTAAATAAGTAAATTAAAGTATAAATTCCATTAACAATATAGATCTAAGCTGCGCGAAGTATTCTCGTATTGATTATAAAAACATTTAGCCAAATGTTCGTAGATATATCATAAATAAAAATTCTATCATATAAGATGATCGATGATAATGTTAGTTATATAAATTATATTTGTTAAAAATACATAGAGTTTATCTCTCTCATTCCGTATAATAAATTTTTTTTAAGCAGTATAGCAGATGACTATATTTTTTTATTTACCGCTATTCTTTTGTACGAAAAGTTCAGTGACACGATGCCCAAAAATAAGGAATTTCAATATTTCTTATCTTCCTTGAATTCCAGAGATGGAAATCAAGGAACTATAGTAACAGCAACAGTGCTTCTCAATTCATGCAACCGTAGCCTTCTTGTATAATTTTAACTACAAATATTATGCATGTATAAATTATACATTTTATTTGCGATGCGTTATATATAAAAGCATTGCAGACATTTAATTATTTATTTTTGTTTAAAACAAAGTTAAAATCAATTTTAAATTAGATTAATGAATATTAGATAAAATCTAAGATATAAGTATTGAATAGCATTTTAATTGCTGCAAATAAAATGCTCATAAATCCGAATTGCTACTAAAAAATGCAGATATTATATGTATTGTTTATATGTGTAATCACTTTTATTCTCTCCCCTAATGACTTTTATACCTGATGTTTTTTTTCTTACATAAGCGAGTGAGATGAGAGAAGCCCATAAATTGTTGCAAGAAATGGGCGTTTTTTGAATTATTCCGATAGTTAGAAATTAACTGTCTTGCCTTTCGAGATTCTTGACATAATTAAGGATATAGTTTCCCGTTTGAGAGCCTCTTGGTTTACAGTTATATCAGCAATATTGTGGGTACTGCAGGGAACTGTTTCAGCTCGGTGGCATCAGCAAGGTCATGTAAGTGCAACCTCTGATCAGGTACTTGCATTCAGTACACCAGCGAGACCTGAGCTGTGCATTCACAGTAAACATTGCATAAGAGACTGTCAACTGGAATCGTTAGATCACTTGAGCTTTCAGCTGTAACTGGATATAGGCATTGTGACACCCACTGAAGTGTAGTATTTCTCCAGATAATCTGGTCACACGATTTTTAATTTTTAATCCAAGAATAAAATAAAATACGGTAAAAATATTCTGTCACTGTAATTAAAAATATATGGAGGAATTTACAACATGTGTATTCCTGATATTTCTGTGCCCGCGAATATCTAAATATACAAAAATGACAGAAGAAACAGTGATTTTTAATTAATTTCTAACTGTGCATATGCTTGAGTGATTTCTCAATTTTTTAAAATGTATCACATTTATGTAAAATATTGATATAAATAGCGAATTTATATCAGTTATTAATTTTATAAGCATAACTGTAAATTTAGAATTATTTTCCCAAAAATATTAATGTGATAATGTGATAATAAAAGGACAATGTTTGCTTGCAGAAGATGTAGAGAGTATGACAGGCGAGATAGAAAATGGGGACTTGGCAGTTCGAGACGTTGCAGACCTTCTCCAGGCACAGTATGCAATTATTGCTGGTAAATATTTAACACAATAATGATAACACAAATATTTGATGAAATGATGATAACACAAATATTTAACATGATGATGCTTTTATTTTTTTAAATAAGCGTTTTTATAGTTGTTTCGCTTATTTTTAGGAGGAAAAACACGAGAGGGATGTCCTATAATTACATTTCCAGATAATGGCAATTTTCATAACTTGACTGATTTGGACTATCAACGTCTCATGCTATATCTCACTTCTGTGCCAACGTAAGAGGACACAATTTTTACAATTTAACGCGATTAATTTATGTTTAATATATTTATTAAATTAAATTAAATTATTTAAATTAAATTAAATTACATATATTAATTACTTAAATTATACCATTCAGGTTGCAAGAAGCCGATCTTGGATTTCATTTGATAATTGATCGGAGAAATGATAAATGGAACTCAGTGAAAACGGTACTTCTAAAAATTTCTGTAAGTGCACTCAATATTTCATAATAATTCGCGCTTTAGAAATACATATTGAGATGTAATAAATTATCATGATTTTTGTATTTATTTTTCTTCCAGGCATTTTTTCCTGGTTTGGTACACGTCGCGTATGTGTTGCGACCCGCCGGATTTTTACAAAAGGCTATTTCGGAGGTATCGAACAAACTGTTCCGGGAAGATTTCAAGTTCAGGGTTATATTCCTAGCTAATGTCGCCGAGCTGTACGAATTCATAGAGAAGGAACAACTCACCGAGCAACTCGGTGGCAATTTACCATATTGCCATCACACTTGGATACAGAATAGAATTGTAAATATAGCGCTATGTCAACGAATTTAGCACATTGAATTTAATTGTATATTATATTAATGAATTGTGTTATTCTCTCTATATAGAGTTTGGAAAAATTTTCATCAATGACACAGGATGTGTCTCTTGCATTAGACTCTTTTACGCGACGTTTGGCCGAAGTGGAATTTCCAAATAACACTATCGCTACGACAACGCTTTTGTCGCAGCAACAAGCTGAGTATAACGAGTTAAAAGAAGAGATACTTACCGCTGCCAGACACGGAGAAGCTCTTCTGGACAGCGTGCGACAGTTAACTGGAAAAGGAACGGCCGATAGATTAGGAAATGTTGCTGCAGTAGAAAGGTGAAAAATATAATAATTAATACTAAACTTAATAACAAACAGATTACTTTTATATCTATTATGAATCATTCGGTTTTTGTTTGAGTTAATTAATCTAACAAAATTAACATAAGAGATTTATAAATTTTTTTATTACAGAGCATATGATTAAGTATTGTTTCGATTAAATTTTAGACTACTTGTTCAATTGGAGGAAACCGAGCGCACCTTTGATTTGTTTTGGTCACATCACAGCTCACGTTTGAGACATTGTCTAGCTTTACGACAATTCGAGCAAGATTTTCGAGAATTGCAAGCAACATTGGATCAGCATCTAAAGACGGCGGAAGAAATGACGGAAGTCGGCGAGACGCAGGCGAGAGTGGAGCAATTGTTGCATGACACATCGGCATTTCAGCGAATATGCAGAGTACGTGACATTTCTTAAATTAATAACTTCTCAACAAGATATTACTATATATCGAATCAAAATACTTGATAATTTTATCATGTAAAATCCGAAACTTCGGAGTCTCTGAATGATATAAAGATAAAGTTATACAATATAAAAAAGTTATTGAAATGTAAATTCATAAAGGACCCATTTAAAAAAAATATAATTATGTGATGAATTAGCGAAAGCAATTTAACGTCATTGCTAACTTTCATTGCACTTAAAGCACTAAAATGCACTATTCAAACCAGTATTTTTTTTATTCATTACGAAATTAAATGACTCTCGTCTTGCGATATAAAATTCGTAAACAAATAGAAATGCAGTAATTATATTTACGATGATTATCATGATTATACGAATCAGGAACGAATTTATCGTTTAAATATTTTATTGTATTTATATATAAATTCTGGTTTGAACGTGATTATCAGCGGTAACATACATGACGCACATCATGCACAAATGTTACTTTGCACCGCTTTCCTCATTTTGTCGATAGTCCTATTTGTTGCATACCATGTGGATTTGGGTCTTGGTAAGCAATCCACTTAACAAAATACATGTATTCTGTAATAGACTTTATACATATTGAGACATACATATTGAGATTGATTTTGATATATCTTAGCATCTATATATTACATATATCTCAATCTTATACTTATCATGCTTTGGAGTCAGATAGAAAGCATATTACGTTTCGACAAGTTTTCTGTAGACGCTACATGAATTAAATTTTTATTACATGTTATTTACCATTCAAGCTAACATCTTATTTCTCATTGTCTTACTTCTTTTAGTTGAAATGCACGCATAGGTGTCATCGGAAAATCGGTGGAGATTTGATTCATGTCCGACACTGGCACGATGAACTTTTGAGAATGTGACTATCATTATGATTTCTCGCTCACTGCATTGCACGCATAATAGTGTTATCTTTTTTTTTTCTTTCCTTACGAGAAGTTTTCTTCCTAGATCATTTAATGAGACTAAGAAACATGCCATGATTGTTCGTAGCACCTTCATTTATATACCAATTTATATATCTAATCGCGTTATCGTGCATAAATATAATTACGTATGTTTATAGGGAGACATAGATCGTGCGGAGGAGGTGATATCTGCTGGTCAGCAGTTATTATCCGGCAGGCATCAGTGCCCAGCGGATGTTGTGGAACCTAAATGCGTGGAGTTGCAGAGAGTCTGCACTATTCTTAGTCAGAGACTAGAGAGACGGCTGCACATGCTAACCAAGTGCAGGGAACTTATGGAGCGTATAGATAAGGTATGTCCAGCTCGCGTTTCAGATCTATCCGTTCTTCTTTTGATTAAAAAGTAATTTTTTTTTTTTCTATTAGGCGAATACTTGGTGTACGCGAGGAATAGAATTACTAGCGTCGCAGAACAGCACGACACCACCGGATCAGGCGCTTCAAGAATTGCAGCAGTTGATTGAAGCCGCGGAGGAGTTTCATCATCCCCGATGTATCTTTCAGGATTCTGTAATGCCGGAAACTAAAGCGCTCATTACGCAGGTATGTATTTTTGAGACTTGGTCCTGATTGCGTACATCTTGATTCGAAATCTGCTTCGTAGGTTTTGCAAAGGATAGAAGATGTATCTTTGATGTGCGACAAGAGAATAATGGCACTAAAACAGCAGCTGATCAAACCAGCCAGACCAGTACAAACTGTCACTCCAGAACCAGTCAAACCCTTGCAATCACTGCCTCAAATCGTAAAACCTGGCAGAATTCTCAAAAAAGCCAATACCATGCCAAAGGTAATCTTTTTTTTATTTATGAATGAAATCTGAAAAAATTTTATAATATATGTTATTTTTATATTATTTTCACGGCTCTGATGGTTGAAATAAGTCTTGAAATAGAGACCAAGGTATTCGCGTGAAACTGATTTTATTTATTGCTCGCAACTTCGTTACAGACGTTTTATTCGCAGCGTATCTCACAGTGGACTCTACATGATTCTCAAATATTCGCGTGACCAACTATTATTTTTGTTATTGCTTTCTTTTGTTTTTCTCGCTTCCGATCGTTTAAATTTAAATATTTTCAAGCGTTATATAGTATAAGAATTAAAATATTAATTACTACAATGTGAAATCTTTGATATTAATTTAGTCCAGAGCCGTATGCGAAACGAGAAAAAAGAAACAATGTGATATGTGATTTCGCTATATATGTTTATCTCGATTTACGAAAAAATAAAGCATAATTCCACGAATTTTATTCTCAGCTGATCTCGAGTCGCGTATTCTAAAGTGCGTGCTGTATATCCGTGTATATGTGTGTACGTGTGTTCGTCTTGTCGAGCGATCAAAAAGATTGCCGCTGGCTCGGAGTCACGACGATTACAATCGCTATATTGTTTTATAAGCTTTTATCATGTGCCAAATTTTCTACTTATCTTTTTTAAGATGGAAATGAGTCCTATAGAGGGAGAGTCTTCTTCACCGGAAAGCGAGCCTCGGGACGTTGAAGCTTTGCGCTTGAAACGCGGTCACGTATTGGCAGAACTCGTAGAAACTGAGCGAATCTACGTTGCCGAACTTGGATCAATTATCAAAGGTTATAAGATGGAAATGACGAACGAGGCGATGGTTCATCTGATACCCACGGCACTGGTTGGCAAAGCGGACGTGTTGTTTGGAAATTTAGAAGATATTTATATTTTTCACGGGGAGACATTTTTAAGAGACTTGGAAAATTGCATCTCGAATACGGAGCTCGTTGCCTTGTGCTTCGTTCAAAGGGTGAGCGTGTGACATTTGTATATCGCACTCGCCGCATCTGTCTGAAAATTAACTTTTGCGTATATTTTTAGCGCGAGATGTTCTTTAGATTGTACAGTTATTATTGTCAGAATATTCCGCGATCTGAAAGATTGCGCGAACAAATACAAAGCGAGCCGCAGTTCCTCGCAGCCTGCCAGCAGAAACTCGGCCATAAGTTGCCGCTCGCTGCCTACCTTCTTAAGCCCGTTCAGCGAATCACCAAATATCAGTTGTTGTTAAAGGATTTGTTAAAGTATAGCGACGAACCTTCATGCTGTACGGAATTACAGGAGGCATTGGATTGCATGCTAGTTGTGTTAAAGTGCGTTAACGATAGCATGCATCAAACTGCAATAACGGGTTTCGGAGTAAGCATCTTCATTAATTTTATTTTCATCATATTATGTCTCTTGTATCATATTATGTGTGTCTGTACACAGGGTGATTTGAGTGCACAGGGTGAACTATTGTTACAAGGCTCATTTAGCGTTTGGAGTAGCAGTAAACGGGAGCGACTGTTGCGATTGAAACCATCTCAGCGACATATTTTCTTATACGAAAAGGCATTGATATTTTGTAAGCACAGCAAGCCTCAAGCTCACGATAAAGCCACGTATCATTTTAAAAGATATTTAAAGGTATTTTTTGATCTTAAAATTATTATTCTCTTTCTACTTAGACATACAATTATATGCGTAATTCTATTTAATACAGATGTCGCAGATCGGTTTGACAGAGTCGGTGAAAGGCGATGCTAGACGATTCGAGATATGGTTGCAGGGTAGAGCAGAGGTACACACGATACAAGCGCCGAGTATCGATGTTAAACAGTCCTGGGTGCGTCAGATTAAAGGTGTTCTGATGTCCCAGCTAGCCGAACTCAAAGGCAAGCAGAATTCGGCTCTTGGAAAATCTAATCACAAGTACGTGATTATTATCAATTAAAAATTAACAGCGCATATTCTTTAAATCTTTAAATATTTTATAATTTTTTGTTTTTTTCGAAGGCCGTTGCGGCAAACTATTTCATGGGAAGCTCAAGGAAGTATATCAGGATCTCTACGAACGTTATCTGTCGATGGCAATAGTGTCATCTCTCACATGACCGACGTGTCGCAGTCCACAGAAGAAGATGCGGCTTGGAGTTCGGAAAACAGCAATACGGACGAAGAAGATGCCTTCGGCGAAAATCCAGGACCAGCACCTGTGAGTCTTTTGTTAAAGGATTTAAGTAGATCTGAGCAATGGACACATTTTAAAAGTTTCTACAATCCAAATTTTAACTTTCGTCAGTTTTTACTATATCTTATTTTTTAAATTCGTTAAAAAATAATCGTTTAAATTTTGTTGCATTTTCAATGTCTAAATTCTGCATTTTGTATCATGACAAAGAAATGCATTTATCCCTTGATTTAGGGTGGAAGATATGTGGCGTTGGCTGATTATTGCGCGGTGGGACAATCAGAAGTCACAATGCGCGAGGGTGATACCTTGGAGCTTCTCAAAGTCGGCTGTGCCGGCTGGTGGTTCGTCAAACTGATCGGCAGCGGCGTGGAAGGTTGGGCACCCGCGGCGTACCTGGAACCGATCAGTCGAAAAACATCACGCAGTTCGCAATCAGTGAACAGTCAAGAGACCATATGAAACAGGCGACTAACACACTAGGTAGCTCACTAGTGTGTTAGATTCTTGCTCTTTTTCGAAAATCGCCACGCTTGAAGGATAGTCGCTATTGAGAATGGTGTCTTGAGAATGTTTCTAAATGGCAGACGATTTTTGGAAATCTTTTACAGCATTTAAAGCACGAGATGATGAGTTACGTCATTTTGTGTATTTTTTTTATGCAATATGGCGTGCACAATGCTCGTCACGTCTTTGTATTTGCGATACGAGGAACGTTAAGTTGTTTAACAACAGCATTTTTGCGTTCATGAAAATTTTATACTAATTACTTAACAAGAGGAAAGAATGAAACGGGGCGATAAGTTTCACGACAGTCGAGCGCACGAGTTTTCCTCAGATTGAGCGAACTCGTTTACGGAATTTTACTGAATTGTACAAAATGTAGCATTGAATTAAGCCGAGATTATGTACGTGTACGCACACAATGAATTACGAGATGGTCTCGATTACTAAAATTTCTATAACAATAAATAATGCACATGCTATAGTCAACAGGAGGAAGGAGACATGACTCCGATGTTAAATCGCACGCGTCCTCGTGTTCGATTAGTTGTAATTTGTTTTAAGGAGAATCTGCATGAAGAATTATGTAAGCATATTCTGTAAATGGTAGTTTCTATTTGTGATCCGGGTAATCAAATATTGGCTGTATGCGATTATTCCAAAGTTTAATATTGTTGTAAGAGAAAAGAAGAGAGAAAAAGAGAAAGACGCGCGACACTTTCGTCCATAGCGTTTTGTCAACAACACGCGTAACTTCCTTTGCCAGTTGGATGAACCAGATGGACAATCTTATCTTTGCTCGATGTATTCCGCGGCGCCGCGAGTAACTAGACGTCGATCGTCAACACGTTGCCGTTGATCGCGTCAGTTGTGTATCATCATATGTTGGCTTAGATTTCTTAGATAGATTCCTAGATGCATCGTTGTCACAACCGAATAGTACAACTTAGTGCAGTTCCGCGAGCTTTGAGAGTATCCTAGGTGTTTCGTTTTACCAAGGATTGAGATTGCTTCCGAGGATTGAAATATAAAATATTCAAAAACAGATCCTCGAGCCTTCGAAAGGAGAGAGAAAAAAATGTGTGATAAAAGAAACGTTAGATTGATGCTTCTGCAGATTAATCGCGGGGAAAGAGATGTTTAATTAATATTACGCCATTCTTAGAATATTAGATATATTGTTGACGAGTCGTTGCGACCAAATAGGCTTGAGATGTTACTATGAACTATCGTGAACTATTAATTCGGGGAAGTAACGCGGTGGTGGGACGGAGAGGGTTCAATGAATCATATACAATGCGTACACAAATTTTCTAGAAGGCTAAACGGTTAACACCAAATAATACGCAATATCCGATATCGAAATCTTAACACACATAATACCTTAGGACTGTACAATAAGCAATCTAAGTTTTAGCGGATTTCATAACCCACCAATTTCATAAATCTTTATTATGATATATATAAAACGATGTATAATAGTATCATTTGTACTGAAACATTTGTACGGATTATGGATAACATAATTTAAGGGGGATTATTATCTCGATCGCTATAATTTACTCTCCAATGTTGCATACGTGTCCGCTCCTATAATGCGCAAAAAAAGGACACGATTTCGTCGCAACTTTTGATATATAGCCTACATGAGTCTGCTTTTAGTATTTATGTAATTCGAGTATTATTATTATTTGTACAGAGAGCACCATTATTGATATTTATTAGATCGATATATTTATTGACTAGCGGATTATTTATATCGCGTTAAATTAAGGACAGCGATCAGTGGTTTATACTGACCCAGGCTGCTTCAGACTGATTTACGACAATTGATGTACTGTAAACGCGACACAAACGGATAGCTATTGCATAATTTGATGATTGTATATGAACGTTATGTGAATTCGTTTCTTGCCGGCACACTGCGTTTTATACAACTTGCACCTCCGATCGTACAAGTTCGGTAATTTCCTCTGCGCCAAGTTTGTTTTACTTTCCACGCGTTTTACTCTTCAGCCGCACTTAGGGTAGATCTGATAGTTATATCTACATATATTCATCCATTTATACGCCGTCCTTTATATATCGACCACAAAATTTTCAATCAAACGAGCAATGTTAGTTTAAATACGATGCGTTTCCATACGATGTGTCCGCTTTGCGTTATGATACTGTAGATATGAGCGGAAAGGCCATACACTCGGTTTCGTTTGCGGGAGCGACTTTATGTAAAGAGAAGAGAAACAGAGACAGTTGTGACAGCTCAAACGTAGAGAAGAAAACCGGTTAAAAAACATCGCTCGTCATACCTACCGTTCACGAACGCTTCCGCAAATTGTAACGTGGTCACCTTCACCGGAAGTCGTTCGTGGCCTCGCGCGGGCGATATTCCTCATCTCTGTAAAATCGCGGTTAAAAAGCGACCAAGCCAAGGTGATATCTAAACATGAGATGCGAGTTTTTTGTAGAAACTATAAATATATACATACATATATGTACACATGCATACACATACATACATATATATATATATACATAGACAATAATTATATACCCGCTGTTGGAGGATACATGACGGATGCGCGTTCGTTCGGATAACAATTTCAATGATGAATGCGATATTTCCCGCGGCGACTACCGGAGCAAGTAAATGGAAGCAGATCCTCGCGAGTGAATCTCTCGCCGTGGACGAAATCATCGATATTAATAGAGATCGCGTAAACGCAGGTGCGCGTGCAATTTTTTAGGGGGAAAAAAGAAGAAGAAGAAGAAGAAGAAGAAACGCGGGAAGAGTTGGACGTTGCGACCGCGATTTCTTCAACGGATGGTTCCTCTCGTCGTTCCTCGCCGGCGCAAGAGGGTGATAGTAAAGTCTATTTTTGCATATAACAAATAACAAAGAGGCTGCCGAAAATCTCTTCTATTTGCGTTACGTATGCGTTTGCGCGATCGTTTGTCACCGAGACTTGACTGTAATTAACGACTGCTGCGTACGCTTTCTCTTCTTTTGATTACTTCGTTCGATTCGCGAGCTACTCGCGAAATGTACTCTTGGAACTTTTCTTTGTTTTTTTTTTTTTGTTGTCGCTATGTAATCTGCGATTGTGAATCGTAGATCGTTTTAGTCCTCGCGGAAGAGGAATTACTCGGATCTCAGAAGCGATATTTTTATACAGGATGCAGTTAAAAGGATCGCTCGAGCTTAAGTTGGATTCTGCTTTTCGCAAAACGAGATTCGTTCGACTCGTCGGACGAACCTTCGTGTACGCGCGAATGACAGACGACAGTAAATGCGATTTTGCGAGAAATGATCATTTTTAATTGTCACGCATCTCCGTTGTTCTCTCGATGAAGAAGGGAGCGGAATATCGCGATTTCTGTACGACTCAAGCGTGTAGATTCGCACACTAAAGTTCCGTTTCAACTCGCACGAGAACCTTGCGTACAATCAGTTGTCAAACTTGTATGAGTCTGCAATACTAAACGGGAACATTAAACGCGAGAATTCAAAGTGGAATCTGCAGCAAAAGCCTCAGCTCTCGTTCCTGACAAATCCCCGCTGTTTTTTCTGACGTATTTCTTCAGCTAAAGAGATGCGTGCTTGGGAAGCGAAATGTTGTGTAATCTTACAATAATCATCGGTACACTTTATGTTTTTGTAACTTGTCTGATCTTATTATTTAACAACAGATCTCGTTTACCATATCTGAAATCAATCTTTCGTTTGCGGAGAATTTTGCGAAGAGATGCTGCGATATATCTTCTGTTTAACGCGTCGCTAATTTGCCATATTTCATTTCAAACGGATTGGTGTAACTTGTTTATTTATTCGTTTTAATATTTTATTGCTTTAAGAGCCAACTTAAAAATTAGCATTGAGTTGAATAAAATAATTTTCTCTTTACTTAATTCTTTAATTAAATCTGATATTACCATCACATTGTATAATTATTATAATTCACATTTAATCGAATACCGTTCCATCCATTTTAATATTTTATTGCTTTAGTAGCCAATTTAAATTTCGATGATTTAAATTATAAATGATAGTTTTATTCAATCCATTGAAAAGAAAAAAATATATTATTTGATAATTAATATAATATTATAATTATTACAAAAATTTAGCTTCATTGTGGAATATATTCAAATTTATTATATTGAATTGAACATCGCGATATCAAATATACTTTATATTTATATTTTATATTAAAAATCTGTAAACGCTGCTAATTATTTTAAAATGAAAAATAATCTGGATATTTGATTATAATTATATCAAATGTAAATAAATTTTCCCATTACCTTATTTTCCTCGCGATGTTTCCCGCGATGTGGCGCGATCGGTATCCCGCGAATAAAATGTATTTCTCGCGGTGGTCGATAGATGAGGTGCCACGTCTCAGTCAAAGGTCAAATTCACCGACCGCCGATTTGCTTACGCACGCATCTCACGCGCGTGCCACATACACTCTCACGCTTCGAAAGGATGTTCCGGCGGACCGCCGCGCGCGATTATTACTTGTGGTGAGGCGATACAGCGCGGTGTCGTCGACTCGGCTTACTTGACGAATTGTGATATTCTCCGCGAGTTTTCGTCTCATCTTCGTTCCCGTTGACCGGGCACCGTGAAACATGTCGCCGAAAACGGACGCAATACCGAAGGAGAAGCTCGAGACACCGACGAGCGGGGTCAATGCTGTTCTTTTGGGACCACCCGGTAGTGGCAAAGGAACTCAGGTATATATCCTTTTCGCGCTTAAAAAATATCACGTCTCGTTATTTTTCAACCTTGGCCATCCCGTCGCTCTTTGATCTGGCAATGACTCGCACGTGATATAATTGATCGCGTGAAACGAGGAAGGATGATTACGTTACTTGGTACCAATCTGTTCAAGGATATCAATAAATTTCTGTCTTTGTATTGTAATTAGATTTTATAAGCGAGCGAAAAATGTCACATTTTGCAGTTTTATCATTAATAATATTTTATAACTTTATCTTTTTTTAAATATTTTTATATCGCAAATTAAATTATAATGGCAATATAAATTATATAATCTTACATTAATCTTCGATTAATAAATCGAGAATATCTAAAATTGTATTCTGAAACTTATAATCATGCTTAATCTTCTACTAATTTTTAATCACTTTAAAAATAGAAAAGTGTTTCAAAGTTCATAGTCATGTTTTTAATCATACTTATATTAAAGTAAATGATGTTTGTTTTAGGCACCACTATTCAAAGACAGATACTGTGTATGTCATTTGTCCACGGGTGATATGTTGAGAGCTGAAGTAAGCTCTGGTTCTGCTCTTGGCACTCAGATTAAGAAAATAATGGATGAAGGTAAATTAGTCAACGATGACTTGGTAGTCAGCATGATTGAGAGCAATTTGGAAAAGCCCGAATGCAAGCGTGGCTTCTTGCTAGATGGCTTTCCCAGGAGTGTACCTCAAGCAGAAAAGGTAAATAACAAAATAAAAGAAAAGAAATCATATTCTAAATCTCTGGGTTTGACCATTCTTTTATTATACAGCTTGATGAAATGCTGAATAAGAGGAAAATGAAGCTTGATGCAGTGATAGAGTTCGGTATTGAGGACAAATTATTGATCAAGAGAATTACGGGCAGGCTGATACACCCGGCTAGTGGTAGATGTTATCATGAAGAGTTTGCTCCCCCAAAAGTTTCTATGAAGGACGATGTGAGTAACAAAAAATCTTGTTAAAAAAGTGTGACTTTTTAAGTAAAAATAGTTCTTTTTTTACCTAATACAAATCGACTGCATTCATAAAATGCTGATAAAAGATAAATTTTCCAACATATTGATCCTTATGTATATAACTTTGATAATGTATCTCTACCGGAGATAACAGCAGGCGTGTTTTTAAAAGAGCACATGCAAAAGATATATAACGAAATAAATTTTGAAGTCTGAAACATTGAAATGTTGCTCTTCATCTTGATAGATCACTGGAGAACCTTTGAT